TTTCACTAATCTGATATCTTACGCACATATCTGAGGGTCCGTAATCAAGTTAGCTATATTTTGTTATTTATATTGCAATTTAATTTAAAAGATAGAAATATGGATTAATCGATTTTAAAAGCTTGTGGATGATTTTAATGGATGAACAATACCTGAGTAGTCACTATCAGCCTCTTTAGCTCCATGACCATTGATTCCACCAGCCCATTGACTGCCACCATGTCCAGGGTTTCCAGAACTAGACACACTNAAGTCAAATAGTTCAAAAAAGAGAAACAGCAACTCAATTTCAACTGAGAGTCTGAAGATTTATCTGATGAAATAAATAAAAAATATCTTTATTTCTGCATCTTATTCAACTCATGCCTCACAAAATTTATTAACATTAAGGTACTATTCCTCAGTCCGGTTATTTGATATCTTTTACCATTAATAAAGCCCCGATAACATTAAAGCGACATGGTCCACCAGCATCCCTTTCGAGTTTTTGTTTATGTTTGAAAATAGAAATACATCGTAATATAAGCAAAAACTTACTCTTTATTGTTCCTTTATCATATATGAACGGAGATGCTTTAAGATTCGACCGTTAAACCGATGGATGGAAACGGATTGCAAATGGATATTCGAAGTCACCTCATTTCCATATATGAAAAATCTAAAACACGACCGCATTGCATGCTAGTGGACCATGTCCCTTTAATACCTTTTTCACAGTGATCTGACACAAAGCCCCCATAACATTCGCAATTATAATGTTGCCTGTTGTCCTGGAAAATGCACTTGCCGTTGTTATACGACAAGGGGTTCCTTGCCAAGGATTCTATAACAACAAACATTTTTAAAAATCGTGAGCTTTTGGGGTGTGTTCCAACACCGAAATGCATTGTTGCCATAGGATAGAATAACTTTTTCTAACGCGATGTTTGCTGATGCTGTGCATAAGTTCTCTTGAATTGGTCGCTTAAAATATGAATTTATGGCATGAATTTATCGTAGGCAAAGTAGAGAAAACTAATGTTCCAAGATGGCATTAATGAAAACTAGTTTTTTGAGTGACTACTTTTCAAAGTTCGTATATTTCTTCCTTGGCGTCAATGTCAATAGCATATTGTATAATTAAGCTTTCATAACTCAAATACGCAACAAACGAACAAATATTTCACCATTCAAATATATACTTTTATAGAATCCGCTCAGAGAAAATTTGAAATTATTTTGTCAGGTGCGATAGTTACTTTAAAATTATTTAAATAAGAATTTTAATTAAAATAGTCGTGAAGTGGTGTTTTGTATTATTTTTTCTATACCTTCACACTATAGTGATTGTACGCCTTGTTTGCACCCATGTACTTTTTCCCAGCGAACTGTTCAGATGAAATCAGCTGACAGACGTGGAGACCGTTAGATTGTGGAGCGATTTTAAAATTGATCGAACGGCACCAATGCACACTCATGCATGCATACACGCAGTCCATGTTATCTTTAACATACTTGGTCTTTTTCATTGYACCTGTTGGCCGGGTAAACTTTTGAGAAGGATAAAAGTAAAAAAGAAGACCCTTTTCCCTCTCGTAGTTTGAAGGGCAAGTAGTGTGACAAGAAATGTATTCTACCAGACGTAACAAAAACGCAAAGAACATAAGCAAAGAGAACATCTTAGAGTATGAAAACAGTTTTTAAATTATCCACGTTGGTCTTGTGCAAACGACTTTATAATTCAGTCGAAATGACTCGGACGTGACATACGACAGGTCTTTGCAAGTGGAACTCACACAGCCTATTATTACATCTATTAACTGGATTATGATTTAGGTCGACTACCTGTGAGCTCATTTTAAAAACATTTCACAAACAATGTTATATTGTACGCAAAGGGAATGTTTTTCTGTAAACCCCCACACGTTTTATGACCTTGAGCCTCTTTTAATGAAATTTATATAAATGTATGTTATATAACTTTTTTCTTATCCCAGAGAGCTCTAGCAATAGAGTGGATTAATTTAGTAAATCTCTCATGTGCGTCTTCGACCGATTTTATTGAGTATATATAATTTTTTTGAATGACAATCATTGACGGTTAAAACAGCTTCACAATACATTAAAATATAACTAATATATCCCCTGCATTGTTGCTAAATTAAGGCTGTTCAGGTTTTAAAGTTTCCATCGATGATTTTTGTCCTTTAATTCGTGTAATCACCGACTATTCATCGGGATGAATAGTTTTCTTCCCGATGAATGATGCGGTTTTGTTACATAGCTTCGTTTACTATATGTCACGCGCAGTTTTCGACAAACATATCATACATTCCCTCGTTTTGACGAAATGACAAATGCTTTAACCACATTTTTATTCACTCTAACCTCCTATTTTGCCTCCTTCAATCCATTACCTATGTCGTGAATGCTATCTTGACAAGCCAATCATTTGTACCTCATTGTAATTGGCAAGATTGCACTGGTTGGCTGGATATCAATTGACAGCTCATTTAGGCAGACTATGGTATCTACCAAGATTGTTGAGAGTGAAATTGTATAGTCTGCAAAGCAGACTAGATCGTGGCATTTACAATTGCCGTAATATTTGAATTATTAAAAAAATACATTTTGTTCCTTAATTTTTCATTGTTTTTAAATTTTGATTTTATATATTTGTTTCTTTCCTTAATAAGCGACGTTCTCCCTTTTTTATACTTTCTATTTTAGCTAAGAGTTATTGTGTGTGTAATATTCTCATGTTAAGATCCGCGCTCAGTTCTTTTTTGGACTGTTGGCATGAGCAGGACATAAAATGTGCTTTGAAAACATTGATGGTGTCCGTCATCAAGAATAAAAAAGTCTGGAAAATAAGCACCCTTCGTACACTCGTGTACTTTGGTCATTGTGTGTATGCATTTATGAGTCACAGCAAACTTCCAACAACAACAACAACACAAAACTCCGTTTATTACATTGTGACAACAAGATCGATGTGCATCTTGGGAATTTTTTTAAAATGTTCTCGCGGAGGACAACCACAACTCTTTGTTCATAAAATCACCCATAGGGCATCATCCAAGCAATCTTCGAAGTTCAGTTAGGACTACCAATCACGTAAAAACTTTTGAACTCAATATTTTTTCATAAATATGTATGTCATAATAACAAATCAAATTATTAATCCTAAATAATATTCAGCATATCTACAAAAGTACACTTTTACACTTTATTATCATTTGTGTCAATATATAATCACATGGCTTCCAGTGACGTGGAAGTAGTTAAAACTACTTAATGGCATGTAGGCCACTGTATTACTTATATAACAGATATATGTTTCTCATATTTTCAATACCTTTCAGAATTATATGTAGCATTTCTTGTTCTTGTTTCATGCCATACATGATACCGACACAAACGATACAAACCTTTTACGTATATATTATGCTCCTCTACTCTTCTCTTGCCCATTCTCACGGCAACTCTTCGTAATAGCGTTCATAAGGGAAATTTCATCGTTGGCCGAGAGTAAACAGAGACTTATTGGAGCAAGTCTAATCTATTCCTATACATGAAATTCTTGTCATTATGCTTATAGAGTGCACTCACTTTATCCGCCAAAGGTTTTACAACTAAATTTAGACACATGAGTGTAAATCCCTTTGTTGATCTTCAATTCTTTTCCAATATATTTAATTTCTAATTCTATTTCTAATGTTATAAGAATAAATTGATATAAAAAAATCTATAATTGTCAATGATCTAAAAAAATCTATAGAAACTTGATGTGCCATAGTTTAACGAACATAAATCTTCCAGAAATCACCAGGTGAGACACCGCCATTGTAGTCATCGCATTCCAGCCTTGGTCCAGAGGTGATAATAAAGTGGTAGTTATGCGCCACGTAAAAGGGATGATCATAGACTTTGTAATACTTGTCTTCCCATCCTGCATGAGACCATTTTCCAATATAACACCATTCTGAGCATTTTCGTCTTGAAGTCAATGAGTTGTCATCAGGTCCTGAATAATACGAGCCACAGATATCTGGCCTTGGGGAGTTAGCTGACTTAAAGTAATCGACAGTAGCATATCCAGAGGCATTCTTGGATGTCATGATGTCTATCGTGCGCCCCACGGACGACTTTCGACACTGCCATCTCAACTGCGTGAATGAGGTYACCAACTGAAGATCCCGCAATGCATCAGAAGATATGACCATTCTTTGGTTTCCATAGCGCCCAATGCCAGCGTACGAATAAATGACGTCAAGAGATGGCTTGAACCCCGAACTTGGAATGACATAGTTAGACACCAAAGTCCATCCTCCTGATAATATCAAAACAAAAGAAAAAAAGAAAAAAAGAAATACCAGACCAGTGAGTGAATACTCTATGAATTCATGAAAAATATTTACTGCACACTAAATACTAATACAGCTAAATACTTATTAGTGCAAATATACCTAGTTGTCTCCAGCTTAATTTTTTCAATATCAGACGTTTCGATCTTGTCTCAGGTCTCTCCAGTGCAAAATTAATCCGTTACAATTGTTTGCGCGCGTGTTGTGAAAATAAGCGGGCGCAAAGGTTCAAGGGTTAACATGCGCGCGCATATATAAGCGTCCTATAAACTGCAATCTCGAGCCCAGAGTCTTCACAGCTAATGTCAGCGGTATGCTGATGCCTAAAAACATTTGAGCCCGGGACGAGTCAGCGGGTTTTCCCACCAAAATAGAGCTTTCTACAAGTTCCCTTGATAAGGTTTGAACTTTTGAAGATCAGATTTTCTACTCTTGTGCAACAATCTTAATACAAAACTGGGTTAAAATCGAAACGTTCAAAACATCGAATAACGAGTATTGGGATAGCACGCCCTGATCCTTGAGTTCATAGTGGCTTGTGATTTGCTCGTTTGAAATGTTCATAGTGTAAATAATATTATTTGCTGAAACACACGTTTCCCTCAGGTATTTTAAACAATGATCATCAGTTGATATTGTGATCTTTTGTTTATACTTGTACATTTCTAAGGAATTTCAAAGGTCTGACATTGTTTACTAAATAGCGTAGACTTGATCTTTCGTTCGTATTTCCCGCTATTTACGAAATGCTATTTACCACTGCGCACAAGGCGCCAGTAAAAACCGCTAAAATTAAAGCAGTCCCAGTCTGAAAGCCACGTTTCTAAGGTTTATTTTGGTACTAAATATGGCGAATAAAATGGAAAGAAAATGGAAGATTAGGCCAAGTATTCGCATGAAACACGAGTCGTCGCCAGCCATTTCACCGTCAAGTTTGTGTTTCCAAATTGTACGATTTCTAGCACAGGCAACCCAAGCAGAGCATACAAAAATTTTTTTTAATAA